TCCTCTGGAAAGCAAACTGTGACTCCTGTGGAAGAACACACTTTAATAGGTCATGATTCCTGGGTGGAGGCTCAGAATCACTCACCACCATCTCATTCTAGATAAAAGTGGATTAAAGAGTATTCTTTAAGAGGCTTGATGATCTTTGGTTTGGAAATGAACCACATCAAAGAATCAGAGACCTGGAAGAGAACAGGAAAGACAACATAAAGAGATGACTTCTGAGCAAGTTCTTTGGAATATGGCAGAGTAAATCCAGGGATATCTGCAAGAATGGCCTTTCTACATAGGATGGCTTCCTCACATCCTCCTCTATGAGCCCATGTATTTGTTTCTCTAGGACAGGACCAGCACATAGTAGGTATTTAATAAAAGTCTTTTGAATGAATGAAGAATGGATTATCCCCTTCAAAATAATAACATTTTTGCAAAAGAATTATTTTTGTTTTTTACTGGACAGATTGTTAAAAAATTGTTACCACTCTTAGTTAATATATCGTATTTCTTTCATCAGTTAAATATGCCTTCCATGACAGATGTACCGATTTATTAATGAGTGTGCATGGGTGTATGTATGTAAGAAATACTTCATTAAATTTATACATAGCCATAAGCTGCATTGCAAGTGCAAAAATACTAAAAATGGAAAAATGATGTCTATAAGATGAGGAAATAAACATGCACAAGTCCCCTTTTCCCATCTTTTCTTGAAGATTCACATAAAACATTTATGACACACTCACCTTTCCTTATCTCACATCTCCAACAGCTTCTAGAATAAGCTGTTATTCCTGCAAACTCTATGGGCATATCCAATAGATTAAAATCTGAGGGGAAAAAACGGTCACCACACACTTGCTCTGCACAATTTACAGAAAATAGAATGTAGTCCCAGATCTTACACCTTTGAAAAAAAACAACTAAAATTGGGAAAGAAATAAAAGCTTGGAAGTCCCCTCCTCTAAGATTTCATTCCTGGCAAGATAATTTCATGATTATTTTCATTTGCTTGAATGTTGCGTTTTGCCGCACATGCACTTCCAGTAAAACCTCTCAAAACATAAACAGTCAGTGTTGACTTCACCTTACTTGTCCTTACACAGAGTTCTCACTGTGAATTTATCTTTCTCTGTTTATGCTGGAGGCTTGTCTATTGTTTATCCACCTAGCTTATTCAGGGTCATAGGTGTTTATTCGGAGAATTAATAGTTATATTTACTACTAATATAATCATCTAATTGTCTTAGCCTTTTGTGCTGCTATAACAGAATACATGAAACGGACAATTTATAAGGAACAGAAATCTACTTCTCACAGGCTGGAAATTTCAAGATGAAGATGCTGGCATTTGGTGAAGTCTCCTTGCTGTATACTCACATAACAGAAGGTGGAAGGGTAAAAAGGGACAAACTCTGTGTCCTCACATGGCAGAAGAGAGTGAAGCTACCACCTAAGGTTTTTTTGTTTGTTTTGTTTTGTTTTGTTTTTGTAGCAGCATTAATCCATTAATGAGAGCTCCACCTACAGACACCTAACCAAAGGCCCCACTTTCAACCCTGTTGCATTAGGGATTAGGTTTTCAACATGTAAATTTTGGAGGACACAGTCAAACCATAACAATAATTATATAATATATATATAATTACAATATATAAACAACTTTACAATTTTTAAAGAATCTTCATACATTGTTTTTTAATGTGGGCAGACCAGCTGTTATTAATTTTATTTTCAAGGTGATTAAATCGAGGCATGCATTGAATAAACACTTGTCCAAGGTCACACCGCTACTGAATGCCAGCTGAGGAACTAGAATTGAGGTATACAAAAGCTTTGACCAGTGCTTGAGCAAATCTTTCTACTCTTCCTCATGGTTTTATCTATTCCTTTCCTTCCCCTCCCCCCCCAAATAATCAAGACACTAATTTTCACTAGACCATTTTTTACCCTCTATTTATGTTAGAGCTTAGTTTAATGCTTTATTCCTTTCTTTACACTTGATTTTTAAAGGAACCATATAATTATATAAGACAAATGTCATGGTAGCACACGCCTGTTGTCTCAGCTACTTGGAAGGCTGAGGTGGAAGAATCCCTTGAGCCCAAGAGGCGGAGGTTGCAGTGAGCTGAGATTGCGCCACTGTACTCCTGGCTGGGTAACAGAGTGAAATCCTGTCTCAAAACAGCAACAACAAAGAAACAGAAAAGAAAATACAAATGTATCTGACTGCCCCCTTTGTTTTTTTAGAGATAGTGTCTGGCAGTAATGCAGTGGCATGATCATAGTTCACCATAACCTGGCACTCCTGGGCAGAAGTGATCCTCCTGCCTCACCCTCCTGAGTAGCTAGCACTACAAGTGCACACCACCACACCCGGCTAAGCCTTTTATTTTTTATTTTGTGGAGAGGGGGTCTTGCTATGTTGTCCAGGCTGGTCTTGAACTCCTGACCTCAAGTGATTCTCCCTCCTTGGCCTTCCAAAGTACTGATATTTCAGGTGTGATACAGCCCGGCTGTAACTGTCCTCTATAATGATGAATATCTCTTAACATAACATGAATTTTAGCAAACGATTTTGTTCTTTCCCTCTATCTCCGCCTTCCCCTCTCCTTCTAGCATCCCAGTTCCATTTTTTCTCTCCAGTAGCTCCCAACTGCTTTAAGAGATATGGTATAAAAAATGCAACAATGGCACTTCCATTTCCCTACAGTTACTTAATTTCTGTCACTCATGTATGAGCACTTGGATGCTGTTCTCAAAACTACCTTTCAATTCCTTTTCACATATTCTTTGTTTACAATGCAGTTCATAACTTGTTGCTCACAGGGGCTTTCTGGATAATGCCAGCCTATAACTAGGCCATGCTTGCTTGAGTGCAAAAGCCAAGGATTTGCTCTTTGGGTTCTCACTGTTCTCCCACAGTGATCTGAACCTGTTTTGTTTCTATTGTTTTCTATGGTGGATGGTATCATCCAGTTACACAAATCACAGAGATATGGTTAATAACTCTCTGTACTCTCTCTTCATATCAAAGCCATTACCAATTCCAGTCACTTTTTCCTCCTAAATATCTCTTGAATCATGCCACCTTTCTTTATCAACACAACAGCACCTTTATTCACCCTTATCATCTTCTCTGCTAAGATGTCTGCAGTGGTTATCTAACCCATTTCATTATTTCCACTCTCTCACTACCTCCAATGATCACGTCATTCTCTGTGCTCCCTCAATAAAACCATTTCAGTATTTCTCTTTGCTTCTGAGATAAAGATCCCTAATTTATCTTGTCCCACCCATGGTTTGGGCCAGTCAGGCCTGTCTGAAATTGCTTCCACTCCTCAACCTTCTGTTTTGCTCCTCACAGTCCAGTCTCGCTGATTTCTTTGAGTTACTCAAACAGGTCTGCTCCTTTCCTATCCATATGCTATTTCTCTGCCACTCAGCTAACTCTGGTTCTTTCTTCTGATCTCAGTTCAAACATCACTTTTTCATATAAATCTTCTCTGATTTCCCTGAGATGTCAATCCCTGCCCCCACTCCCATAGTAGCATGCACTTTGGTGGGTGTGGGCACGGACTGATACTTTTAAAAGTAAACCTCCCACAGTAGTGAGTGCCCCATGAACTTTGGAGACAGTCGACAGTGGGTCTGTAACTCATTCTTTCGTACTTGAGAATACCTGAGTGTTTTTCTTTTAACTCTAAACAGACCTACCTGTAAATATTGACCACTGAAATGTATTAGCTCCCAATGACTGACCTAGGAATGCTTTTAGCAGAATGTACCTGATCTTTCTGGCCTGATTGCTATAAGTATATCTGTAATTTATAGATTTATAAACTACAGCTGCTGATGAATGCAAGTCAATCACCTAGCTAGAGCAACACTGTGTGATGATGATGCATAAACAGAAAGACCACATCACTCAGAGGCTCCTCTATGCTAACCCTAGCCATGCAGAGTGAGCACTGCCCACTCCAAAACCAAATGACATCACAGTGCTACAAACAGGAGGTTGCATTTGATGGGTTCAGGTATGCCAGATAGTGCTGTGGCATATACCATTGATGTTCCTTTCTTATTACCTTTGCTAATGACCTGCAAAGCTTGATGCTGGGTAATATTTGCATTTCATCTGAGTCTGAAAACTCAGGCTTTTGTTGTTATGTAGGTGGAATAGCTCTATTTCTTCTTCATTGTCTCATGAGCTTTATGAAAGCTCTGTTTTGTCTGACAGTTACTTTCCTGTTTACTGGCCCAGTATTTAACACATAGTGCATAATAAATATTTGTTCAATAGAGATCACTAGAGCTAATCATGTCTAATTGTTTTCTTCCTGCATACATAGAAAACCTATCTAGTACCTCATACAATTAAGCTGGGACCTTGCCATTAATTTTAACAGTGGATTTTGAGAGGAAGTAACATCTATAACTTCAGGGTAAAGGCAGTTAAGATCAGATGTAAATTATCCACATTATTTTTCAATTTTTTTAGAAAATATAAAACTTTATGTTAAGATGATTGCATGGAAAGATGGCAGAGATCCTGTTATTTCTGGATTCTTGACTAATGTGTAGAACGCAATGCTCCTCCTTTCCATGCTGGATATACAGCATGAGTCAGAAAGACCAACTGGTTTAGTGAAGGTTTCGATCTTGTTGAGGTTAAATTGTGACTGAGGTATAATATAGCCTATGCTGTCTAATACATGAGTGAGCATTAGGCAGGCAAGACTATCTATAAAAACCTTCAGAGCACACTTGCCTTCTTCTCTTCCCTTGATTCTTCTTTTCTTTCTCTTCCTTCTCTAAGAATTAGTAAATGAGGTATGAGAGAGAGAAAGCATGGTGTCAAGTGGCACTGCAGGAACAACTGACCTGGACCTGACTTAAATTGAAGTGACTATGACATATAAAATTATGACATAAAAATGATGTCATAATTTATTGAGCAGAGCATCTTATATGCCAGGCCTTCTGTTAGAAATTTGAGATTCAATCATGAAGAATGCCTGTTTTCTACTCTCTAAGTGCTCGTATATTCAACTAAGAGTAGAGAAAAATGACTAGGATATAAGAAAGAGATAAGGCAGAAAGGGGCATTAGTTACGATTTGTGGAAGGGGATTGGAAAATGACTTCACAGATTGGGTGACATTCAAACTAGATCTTTGAGAAGATGAAGAATTTCACCAAATGAAGGAGAGAGGACCCATTGTGGACAATTTCCCATGTCATAAGTATTCATGGTGTGTTTGGACAATTAATTTAGTATTTGTGAATTGGTAGCTGGCATGAGAATTGGAAAGAGAGTATAGGAGGACAACTTCCCGTTTCCCATTCCCCACCTTCAATTCTTGCTGTCATGTTTTTCTTTTTAGCTTGAGATAAAACTACAGTGCTTTCAAATGGTTTCTATAATATATCTCAATAGCTTTTTGCATGAAAGCTATTGAGATATATTTGCATGAAAATTATAAGCAGGATAACCACATTTATCAAATAACAAAGGGAAGGAGAATTTAGAGATAACCAACCAATTCTACCACCTATTTTATACCCAGTGGGTTCTCTTTCTTTCTTTTAGTTCTATGGACTCTGCCACTCTCCTCTCTCAGCTGTGCTCACTATACATCTAGCTAACCTCTGTCATCTTTGCATTTTTAAGCTCTCTTCTCTACTAACACTTCAGTTCTTTTGCTGCTGATGTTTTTCTTTCATTGTAGTTCTTTATTATAAAGGTCAGACTTTCCAGGTTAACTACTCAGTGGCAGTTCCTCACATTTCTATACAATTTCATCGTCAAGTACTAAAGGGAAATCTGGATCATCTGGCCTTGAGGAAAAGTTAAATCAGAGTAGGAGCTGTTCACTTATAAGTAAAAAATACATTGTATGCTCCTGGTCTGTCTCCTTACAGGATATTCAACCACATTTGCTTTTGTGCTTCTCAAAAAAATTTGGTACTTATAAAATTATCTCAGCTGGGTGCAGTGGCTCAGGCCTCTAATCCCAGCACTTTGGGAGGCTGAGGCGGGCAAATCACGAGGTCAAGAGATCGAGACCATTCTGGACAACATGGTGAAACCCCATTTCTACTGAAAATACAAAAATTAGCCAGGCGTGGTGGTGCACACCTGTAGTACCAGCTACTCAGGAGGCTGAGGCAGGAGAATTGCTTGAACCCAGGAGGTGGAGGTTATAGTGAGCTGAAATCATGCCACTGTACTACAGCCTGGTGACAGAGTGAGATTGCGTCTCAAAAAAAAAAAAAAATTATCTCAACAATTTGGTAAATAAATTCCCCCAAGAATTCTGATGTATTAAGTTTGTGTGAAGTCTAAGGATTTGCATTTTATTTTATTTTTTGATGAAGGTGATTAATTTTTATTTTCAACATTTAATGCAATCTTGAAAAATGACAATACACCCTGCCATTTTCTCTTACTCATCTTTTTTCTCAAGCACAATATTAGATTTCTCTCAGATTTCTTTATTTTCTCAAAACTTTTAAAAAATTAATTATATCTTTAAATGACAAATAATTATGTATATTTATGTGATATAATGTAATTTATTGATATACGTTTACAATGTGGAATGATTAAATTAGGCTAATAAATTCATCTCCTCATATACTTGCCATTTTTGTGGTGAAACATTTAAAATCTACTTTTTGCAATTATGAAATATACAACGCATTATTATTTACTATAGTCATCATTCTCTACGATAGATTACTAAATCTAATTTCTTCTGTCTAAATGAAACCTTGTACTCCTGATCAACCTCTCCTCTCCTCTTTCTTCATCCACCCTTCTTCCCCAGCCAGTTGTAATCATCATTCTACTCTCCTCTTCTATATGTTCAACTTTTTTAGATTCCACATATAAGTGAGATCATGCTACATTTGTCTTTCTGTGCCTGGCTTATTTTACTTAGCACTGTGTCCTCCAGATTCATCCATGCTGTTGCAAATAACAGGATTCCCATCCCTTCTTTTTAAAACTGGTTGAATAGTATTCCCTTTTGTATATGTATCACATTTTCTTTATCCATTCATCTCATGATAGACACCTAGGTTGCGTCCATATCTTAGCTACTGTGAATAATACTGCAATGAACATGGGATTGTAGATATTTCTTTGCTATACTGATGTCAATTATTTTGGAGACATATATATACATATATATTCAGAAATCATTTTACTAGATCATATGGTAATTCTAATTTTAGTTTTATGAGGAACCTCCATACTATTTCCAAATGGCTATATTAATTTACATTCCCACAAACAGTACACAAGGGTTTTCTTTTCTCCATACCCTTGCCAGTGGTATCTCATTGTGGTTTTAATTTGCATTTCCCTAATGATCAGTGATGATGGGGATGTTTTCATATATCTGTTGGCATTTATATATCTTTTTTTTTGAGAAGTATGTATTTATGGGTTTTTTGCCCATTTTTGATTGAATTGTTTGTTTTCTTGTTACTGAATTGTCTTAGTTTTTTATATATTTTGGATATTAGCTTCTTATTAGATTACAGTCTGCAAATATTTTCTCTTAATCTACGGGATGTCTTTTTACTATATTAATTGTTTTCCTTTGCTGTACAGAGCTTTTTAGTTTGATGTGATACAATACAATTTATTTATTTTTGCTATTAATTACTCTGATTTTGTGGTAATATCTAAGAAATATTTGCCCAGACCAATGTCATGGAGAATTTCTCTTATGTTTTCTTTTGGTAGTTTCATAGTTTCAGGTCCTACTTAATCATAGTAAAAATGATGTTTTTAATGTGCTGTTGAATTCAGTTTGTTAGCATTTTTGAATTTACGTTCATCAGTAATATTGGCCTATAAATCTTCTTTTCTTATAGTGTTCTTTTTCTCTCTTTCCTCCTCTAGATACTCACATCATTTATATATTTGCACATTTCAGGCTGTCCCCTAGATTCCTCATGCCTTCTTTGCTCTTTTTCAACCATTTTTTCTTATTCTTCCTCTCATTGGCTAATTTTGAATGACCTGTCTTCGAGTTCACTAATCATTTCTTCTGCATAATTGAGTGTGCTGTTAAAACTCTCTTGAAAATTTTACTTCTCTTATTGTATTCTTAAGCTTTAGGATTTTCATTTGATTATTTTTTAAGGTTTTTAATTCTCCATGAAACTCCCCATTTTGTTTATGCATTGTTTTTCTATTTCCATTTAGTTTCTGTCTGTAATTTCTTACATCTTATTGAGCTACATTAAGATGATTATTTTGAATTCTTTTTCAGGCAGTTTGTCTATCTCCATTTCTTTGTGGTTGGTTATTGGAACTTTATGAGTTTCCCTTGGTGTTGTTATGTTTGCCTCATTCTTTGTTATCTGTGTAGTCTTGCACTGGTGTCTGTGCATTTGAAGGTGAAAACCCCTCTTTCAGTCTTATACACTGGTTTTGACAAGTTAAAATGTTTTCCTCTTAGGTCTTTGGGCTGATGGGATTGCCTCTGAGATCACAGTTGAATGGAGGTAGATCAGTGTCACTTGCCTGATTGTAGGTTCATAGTGTAGACCACAGTTTGTGGGCCTATTTCCAGTGGCTAGTGGCTGTGGATTCTTTCTGGTTCCTAGGCGAACTGGATTGTTCCCAGGAACTCAGTCTGTGGGGCTGGTGCTGAGATGAAGGACTGCCTCTGAGTTCACAGTCAGCAGGCCTGTCATCAGGTACATTTATGTATTATGTGCTGATAAGTGTGGCTTCCTCTAGGTCTCTAGGAGGACTCCTGTTGGATCACTCTATGGGTCTTTGGGATAGTTGTATTGCTCAAGTCTGTGGTAGAGATGGGCTGTAACTGAGATACCTAGCTGTTTCAAGTCTATGGTCAAGACACATCTTCAAGCCTGTCTCTGGGGTCCTGGATAGGCATGTCTTCTGGTGGATTTCTTTTTTTTTTTTTCTTTCTTTTCCTTTTTTATCTTCATCAGCTTTATTAATATCAAGAGCAGAAGAGCAGCTTAAATGTTTTGGTTTGATATGTCTTTTCTAAACACAAAATGAATGTAAAAACATCCTGGTTGGGGGCCAAATGACACAAGCCAAAAACACAAGCCAAAGAAGGAAAATGAGCCAATCTCCCCATCAAAGTGAATCAGAAGGCATCTGCTTTTTCCCTCCCACTGCTGTGGCTTTGTGGAAGTCATTCTTTTGCAATTAGTCATCATTTCTCTTTCCCCTTCTCCCATCCCAAAGAGCAAAATCAGAAACATAAATTAAGTCTCAACTTAGAAATTAGGAAAAACACTGTAGAAGCTATTTTTAAAATATTTAAAAAATATCTCCTCAGAGGAGTCTTCCAAAGGGAGAAACTCACTTAGAACATAGGTAATGGGAGCATTTCCTTTTGAGACTTTTTGTTTATTCATTTTACTTCTGACAAAGTTAAGGTTTCTATGTGTGATCTTATTTTTTAAGATTTTTACTTATTTATTTTTCTAAGTCTGATTTTTATTTTTAATCTTAAGTTCCAGGGTACATGTGCAGGATGTGCAGGTTTGTTATATAGGTAAATGTGTGCCATTGTGGTTTGCTGGCCTATTAGCCCATCAACTAGGTATTAAGCCCCACACACATTAGCTCTTTTCCCTAATCCTCCCCCTCACCACCTTTCCTTTCTATGGCTATATACTATTCCATGGTGTATATGTACCATATCTTCTTTAAACAGTCTATCATTGATGGGCATTTGGGTTGATTCTATGTCTTTGCTATTGTGAATAGTACTGCAATGAACATAAGCATGCATTTATCTTTATAATGGAATTATTTATATTCCTTATATACCCAGTGATATGGTTTGGCTCTGTGTCCCCACCCAAATCTCCTCTTGAATTCTCCTCCCATAATTCCCACATGCTGAGGGAGGAATCCTGTGGGTGATCATTTGAATCATGGAGGCAGTTTCCCCCATACTGTTCTCATGGTAGTGAATAAGTCTCATGAGATAGAATGGTTTTTATCAAGGGTTTCTGCTTTTGCATCTTCCTCATTTTCTCTTGCTGCTGCCATGTAACAAGTGACTTGCACCTCCTACCGTGATTCTGAGGCCTCTGCAGCCATGTGGAAATGTAAGTCCAATTAAACCTCTTTTTCTTCCCAGTCTCAGGTATGACTTTATTGGTAGTGTGAAATGGACTAATATACCCAGTAATGGAATTGCTGGGTCAAATGGTATTTCCCATTCTAAATCTTTGAGAAATC